ATACATTACAATATAAATGCATAATTGATAAAATGAAACAAATCTATACTAATATCATAAAGAGGTAAAGTTTGTAAGTTTGAATGTAGGAGGTAATCTCCGAAACTATTCATCCGATTTCAAAAATTCTTTCACCAATATTTAGAATGCACCTTCAGGGTGGACATAGACTGTATATTATTCCGTTAAACATTCACATAAATTAAAAGATATCATCTAGGTAGGCGTTATATTTTTGGTGTCAGCGGGTGGCGAGGGCAAGACGCGTACGTATACGAGATAGGTAACGGCGTGGCGCAGTCGGTGGTCGGCGAGATATGCAGTGCACGTATCCGAACTTGTACTGAACATATGACTATTTGTATAAAATAACGAATATCTTTTGTCCCGTATGCGTTCCTAAAACATTCATATAAATTAAAAGATCAGTGGCGTACCGTGGATGTCAGCCGCCCGGGGCGGAGGAAAATTTCGCCCCCCTTATTTAGGTATTTCAATTTAAAAGACCAAAATTCAGTTTTGTCACAGAACAAGTAATGAAAAATTTGGTGGTAGTGCAGCGACCTGTTTAATTAAAATAGTTTTATTGGATGTTAGTGGTGTATATGAACGGGAATGAATCGTACAAGCAAGAAAAAAGTCAACAGGTATCGCAGGATTTCCTTGGATAAAAAAATTACTAGTTCACCCGGACGGCGAGCCGACTGTCCGGACGATAGCACTATCGTAGGCGCGATGCAAGTATAGATTGGGATGTTTCAAATTTTTACAAGATATTATTATTATTTATTGTGAAATTTTGCCGCCCCTGCCGCCCCCACTACGGTACGCCACTGTAAAAGATATCATCTAACTGATACTGTTATAGTCACAAACTGAATTCCACGCGGGCGAACCGCGGACACAGCTAGTTTAAATATAAAAATGATAATAATTAAAGAGTTTATAATAATATAATTTTAAATATTTTAAAATTCTTGCTAAAATATTGTTATAATCATCATCAATATATATTATAAAGGAAACTGTACAATGTGCGTGCCGCTAAAACTCAAAAACGAGTCCCGATACGATCAAGGGAGTTATGTGGTGTGGTAGCCCTCTATCCCCCATCCGTGAAGAAGGTTCCCGTTTTTTTACCTGAAGGCCGTGCTGTTGAAGATATAAGGGCTGGAAGTTAAGGCTTACCCTGAAGAACTCGGCTTCTGTTGCACTATTTTTAGATGCGATTTTTTGCGTTTTTGTCTGCGTTTTAGTAGGCTACCACATTTATTATGGTGAAAGAAGTGTATTCCTTAATTAACAATGGAAGTGTTAAAAATGGAAGCGTTGAGTAACAATGGAAGTGTTAAGAGAAAGCGGCATGCAAGATTTATAGGCGCAGATGTGGTTTTTTGCGTTTTTGCAAAAAATCGAACATATTTTTAGACTCGTGTAAAAATTCTCTAATTAGTCTGGAAACGGGGGACCTAATTCTTGCATTCTGTGAAAACGGATCAGATTGGCTATAATGTAATTATCTTAATCTTTGCTATCGTTACTTTTTGCCCGAGCAACGCCGGACTCATCTGCTATTTTTCTATAAATGCGATATTTACGAGAACATACTTCCCATGTAATTTTTTTCATCTGTTGCAAAAACATAAACACTATTATCATATAAAAGCAATTATTATAGCATTTTTACAAGATTTTTGTTTTTTATTTAAACAAGTCATATGAAGTCTTTCGAACGTTAAGGTTAGCAGTTTCGATCACGTGCGGGGTATCACAGCCTCTTTAACAAGGATCACTTTTCAAATGTTAAATAACCAAATTGTTTATATGGGTTCGTTTTAATGTTTGTTATATTGTAGTGTTTGATTTTTATAACTACAAAGGTTATCTTAGGTAAGGGTTTATCACACCGAGTGACCAATATACACATTTTAAAAATTCTTTATTCCTCTACTGTACACAATTTGAAGAATTTTTAAAATGTGTACAGATTGGTAACTCGGTGTGATAAACCCTTACCTAAGATAACCTTTGTAATTATATAAATCAAATACTGTAATTTAATATAATAGAAGGGTTGAAAGTACGAAATAATCTATTAGATTATTTCGTACTTTTCTAATCTTCTAATCTTAATTTTTGATGTAGTTATTTTTGCCCGGGCAACGCAGGGTTCGTCTGCTACTTTAATAATAAAATTAAGACAATTTATGCTTTAATTTATTTAATTTTAGTTTATTTTTTCTCAGGAAATGCGATTAATTTATTTTAAATGTTTTCAGTAATTAATCTAAATTAAAATAGTTCTTCACTCGAAATATTAAAATTTTAACTTATACAATTTTCTGAAAAATTTTACAAATGTATCATTCAGAAATACTGAGTAAAGTGTGAGCATAAAATTTAATTATACCACATTGATATATTTCAGGCGAAGAGGAAGTTTGGAGTTTACATTAGAGTTTGGAGGCGAGTACGAATTACTGTATAAATGTCAATTTTATATAAAAACATATATAAATAAGTTAATGAACATAGTATATTGCATTCATTTTTCACAGAGGTGCTAGTAATATCAAAACGGTCGATTAGTCAAGGATCCCCAAACTTTATTGACTATTGCTCCTTCAGGGACTGCTTGACCTTTTATCGACCCTCTTTTTTTTTGCTGATACAGTTAATAACGATAATAATACTGTCTCATCAGATTTATTTATTATTAATTCATTACCGTTTTTGTAGAAAAGACCTTCCTAGTGTGCACTTATTAAATCATCAGAATTGTCATATACAGTAATTTACCCCTTAGTTCCTATTTTTTATTTTTAAAATCTTTAATTAAACATAAAAAATACTTAAAACTGAAAAAAACAAAAGAAATGCGTTAATTTTGAAGAGAAAGATTTAAAGTTTAACTTCCATTGTCTCGCCTTTCCGCGAAATCTGACGCTGATGAGTAATTGTGTTTACAGCTGGATGACCTTGAGAACAGCTGGTGTCGTCTTTCGCGGAAGATTCTCATAAAACTTACAGGAGCCGAAGGGTTTATAGTAGGGTGAATACTAGCTGGCCGTATATTTTTAAATATTTTTAAAAAATTAAGTTTTTTATTGCTATTTCCGACCCCCCTGACTTAATTAAACGTATACAGTAGATCCCCCTATAAGACGGTAGATACGTTCCGTTCTTTATGAATCCGATTTTGTAGGAATCACAGCCAATCACAGCCCGACACGTGTGAAGTTTACGGACTACGGCTGTTTGAAAGGTTTTCTTCCATAAAATTAATCGATTCTAGACTAATCCGACTCAACATTTCCAAAATACGTATATTTTTTTTGGAAATAATCCGTATAAACTACGCTATAAACAAAAAATTGTAGGATTACTTACCGAGTGTGCACCATTCGACATCGCCGTTGCTCAAGCTTGTTTTCGTCGCGGAACAGCGCAGCAAACCGCGGCCGCGATTTCTGATGTTATTTTTCTGCGAAAACTTCGTTGAACTTTGGAGACATCATTAATATAAATAATTTTAATCGCCGTTGAATAAGAAATGTTTCTTTCACAAGAAATGTATAAAATTACAGTACTGTATTAGACTTACGGTACCTAATTTACATACTGTACAGACGATAGTTAGCCTAAAATCTCCGTAACTGTTGCCAGGCGGCAGAAAGCATATATATAATTATAATAAAGTTACAATAAATTAAGTTAATATATAATTATATATACAGTACCTAATTTATATATAATTAATATATAATTATATGTACAGTACCTAATTTATATATAATTATATGTACAGACAAAACTAAACTCAATTTACCCGCCTAAACGTCCGTAGCGTGGCGCTACGGACGGCGAGACAGTAGTTCGGCTGCCCGATGACGTTTTACGTAATTATAGGAGTTTTTTTACCGTTGTGTACGGATACCGCCACGATTTTTTCGCCGTCTTATAGGAATCGTAATTATAGGAACCAGTTTTATAGGGGGATCTACTGTATATAATAAAATCTATTAATTAAAAAAATAAAAAACTATTGGAAGTCGTTTTTGATATCAGAAACTAGCTTTAAATAACTTTACCGAAGTAAAATCCGTGCACTAGAACTTTAGAACGATGAATAAAATTTGATAAAAAAATTCCATAAAAAAATAACTAAGCCGTCATTAAAGGTAGATTAAAATCGCGATAAAATTTTTTCGCGCGGGAAAAAAATTTTGAAAAAATTTGGAGACAAAAAACATAAAAAAAAATTTTTTTAAAAAGGGTCTAAAAACTCGGTTTTTAGCAACGCTATGGAACTTACTCGAGTGAGGCTCGAGCGTAGTGCAGAAGGGGTAATCGACCGACTAGTTTTCAACATTCGAGAACGCTTTATCGACCATTTTGGGTAGGGTGACCAGATGTAGTCAAAGTAGGACATTTGAAGTTTCATAATGCTTCCCAGTAGGATATTTGACAACCTAGCTTAAAACAATAAAATTCGGCAGTAAAAAAGCACAAAACACAAAAATTGATAAGTAAATAATTTTAAATTGATATACTACTCTTGTTGTTTTAAATACTACTCTTTGTTGCAATTGTACCCATTATTTAATATAAAAATATGAAAAAATAAGTTTACAGTATTGTTATTATTAATGACTACCTATTGGCCCAGAAGTAGTTATCTGTGAAAGTAGGACATTTCCGTTAGGCGGTAGGACGTAGGACAAAAGGTTTAATTATAGGACATGTCCTCCCACAGTAGGACGGGTAGTCACCCTAATTTTGGGGATCCTTGGACTAGGTAATTTTCAAGAATTTTACGAAAAAAATCAAGCATGTGCGTTTCCTATACTGACAAATTAACTTATATAATTAAGACAAAACATTAATGTAATTTAAAATAAATAAGAAACTAACAATATCAGATTGTTATACTTTCTTCGGATTATTTAACTCTATCTATATACAATAAACTTATCACTAATTTACTCATTCTTTAAAATATTATTCCGTCATTAATGACTAATTTATTTATAAATAAACTTCGAAATCAATTCAAATACATCCAATTATAATGTACTGTACAACAGCCAATTTATAAGCGTAAGTTTTCACGAATTAATTTTTGTAAACATTTTATTTAGAACATGAATTACTTGATGAGCCGAACTACGTCTTCTAGGAGGTTGCACTAGTCTTCTCCTCAGTATGGAATGATGTAATTCGATGAATATTTCATTAACCACATCACCACCTTCGCATGCACTACACTCATAAAAAATGCACGATAACTTGAGTGCTAATTGTTCTCCTTCTTCGATACTAACCTGTCGATCGTGGTCTAAATCGTTTTTATTACCGACAATAACGCATGGGACTTCGTTCATTTTCTTTAAAGAACAGACGAGTTTATATAGATGCTGAATTTGATCGAAACTATCTCTGTCATTAATACTATAGACGAATATGAAGCCGTCTCCCCAGCAGATGTTTCCTTCTTGATGTAAATTGTCTGTCTAGGAGTGAATTAACAGTCCTATATATTAAAAAGTTAAAATTATTTATTGTAAAACAAAAAAAAAAAAATGTATCTTACGCTTCCTGCTGTATCCAATATTTCCATCGTGATGTTTTCGTCATCTAAGCAGATACTGTGCTTATATATGCATTCTGAAAACATATTTAAATTCATATATTAGTATATTTTACAAATTTATAGATTAAATAGCTCAATAATGAACTGTGCTATCAGTTGGGGGTGTAGCTCAGTGGTAGAGCGTTCGCTTTGCATGTGAAAGGCCCCGGGTTCGATCCCCGGCACCTCCAGGTGGTTCGAAGTTTTTTTTTTCCTCCTACTTTGTTCACTTTTTATTTATATCATTAAAAATTAATACTTTATCATTGTTACTAATATTTAAACATTTTTAAAATTATTTCTTTATTTCTGTATATTGTAGCGCCATCTCTCGAATATTTTTCGAATTTCACTTTTATATAACAGTCCTTTTCTTCCAGACAGCAAAACAAAATTTCAAATGAGTTCTATTTAAAGTGTAAAATAATAACGAATGAGAAAACTTATATCAAGTACATTTTATATAAACAGTTAAATTTTATAGTAACCTCTTTGTTGATAAAAATATTCTGTTAGTTACGTAAGTGTAAGGTATACTCTTTCGTTCGCTCTCCTTAAAATATAATTTTAAACTAAACTTGAATTGAGAGAAGCTTCATTCTGAATTATTCCTGTCATTCAAATGTTGGAATTTAAAATTAATAAAAAATTTATTTCAGATTAAAGTTTTAATTTTTCTTTCTTTCTGACGCAAATGGCAAATATTTTTATATGTACAGTGCTGCACAGTATCTTCCCAAATGCTGTTAAACTTTAGTAAACTACAAATTAACTTATCTTAACATCTGTAAGCCGACAATTGTTTGGCTTTAACATATCTTATTTAATTTCATATTAATAGAGCATAATTAATTTTACATTCACTCACTATATATATAATAGTGTTTCCGTTTTACTCAAAAAATACTTTAAAACTTTTAGAAATAACATTATAAATTAATTAATCAATCAATATTAGTTAATTAATTCATTCATTGACTACTTTTATCGATTAAAAAGCTTTTAATATGAATATAAAATATTAAAATTCATTATTATCATAATTATAAATGTTAATTAAAGTTTTATTAAAATTATAAAACTTACCTAAAGTAGGATCATATTCCCAAATAAACCGTTTTGATATAAATCTGACAACAAGAGCTGCAAAATAAGCACGCAAATATTATAAAAAAAAAAGACAAATTAAAAATATTAAATAAATGATGAAATTAATTTAAAGAAGCATTATAATTTATTATTGTTGTCATTTTATGAAAAACATAATTTTAAACATTGACCCGCAATAAATAAAGAACGCGTTGAAAACGAGAGAATAAATTTTACAAAGTTAAATGATAATTAACTTTTTCACTAACGCAATGAATAAAAAAAATATATATATAAATAAAAAACTCGTACCAGATTTTCCAACACCTGTTATGCCCAAAATTACTAAACGAGTATTGGGGGTTTGCGCCATTTTATGTTCCCCCAGTACATTGACGCTGATTACTTTTAGCAGTTCCTTTAATACGCCCCCTTCCACACTACCGACAATCGACATGATTATCGCATGACAACTTCCCTAAATAATCATTTCTGTTCACAGAGGGCGCTAATTTTTATCGTTCGGTTATCATGAAAAATCGAATCCGCCATCTTGAACAAATTTTTAGAGTTTTATTTTACTAAAAGGAAAACTGAGATACATTAACAACTTTAATGTTTTGGAACGTTTGAAAGGGTTTATTTATAACGGTTGATTACGTAAAGTATCCTTATCCGATTTATTATTATTAATTTATACGTAAAATTTTGTTTTAATATAAATTTATTTTTAAAAAATGATTTGATGAATTGCAATGCGTATTTACAAATGAACTGCAAAATATGTACAATATGAATGGAATGCCAAATCATCTTTTTATATTTTTCAACAAAATTGTGGCAAAGAATCAAAAAATATCTAAGTTTAGAAACAAAATACTCAACTTATAGAATCAGCATCCTGTTTAAACTGTAAAAACATATTTTTATAACCATGTTTCATAACATAAAATATAAATAATTTCGTTTACTATCATTCGTTAAATTGTTTCATTGACTCTTAACGAAAAACAGAATCGTAGAACAAATTTATTTGAAAATTTCATCAAAATCTAAGTTTTAAATGAAATATAAAGCACACGCTTAAATAAATAATAATATATTTTAAATTTGAAATATATTAAGAGGTTAAAAAGTTAAAAAATCTTGCTACTTTCTTAACCTTGACATATATCTGTTTTTTTTGGTGCGTTCCAGTATCCCTGTTGAAAGTACTGTACCTATTAGTGTCGGTCAATCCATCATTTGTCTGTCCGTCTTCTCAAGTTATTAACTCATTTCTAAATTAGTTCACCTACAATAATTAAGATTTATTATTAAAATTTACACTTATAGAAGCTCTTCTTATATTAAATAAGATACAGAATCAAAAGCAAAATTAATTTTTTAAAAATATTTTATGTTCTATTTATAATGAAATATCATGTAGGGTGTCAAATAATAACATTTATGATTTTTTTTCTTTTTAATTTACAGCAGTTTTTATATTAATTGAAAACGCGATCGTTTCATTTTTACTTAAAAAATGTTCTAATTTTTGTTTTAAATTTTTATTTTCGCAAACGCATTCTTAATTTAATAAACACATTCTATAAAAATACTGAAATTATCAATCCTTGTTGATCAATCAAACTGCGTGTAAATAAATGTCAAATTAACTGAATATATTTGAGTGAAATTTTACGCTTAGATTTAGACATAGATGATATAGTTTTTATTTACGGTAACTTGTGAAAATGAAAAGTGGTAGTTAAATTTTTATGGTATCTCATTTCTTTTAGTTTATTTATCGTATTTTTAGAAAGATGGAAATGGAGTCAATTTTTAACTAAATATTAAGTTTCTGAATATCATAATTAGTCTAGTTACGTTAGTGAATATTAATTACACTATTACAAAATTACGTTAACTCATATATTATTACAAAATAAATTATTCTAAAGATTGTAAAGTGTCAGGAAATTTTTAAGACTTTTTCATGTTGTTTTATACCCTAGAAATAGACCAGAAAATTTTGAAAACCTTATATACAAATTAAGGAGCTGCAGTACATTTAAGTAAATTTTTATCACTGGAGATCTTGGGATTTCATAAAAAGAAAATAAAATGATTAAAATTGGACTACAGTAATACCTCGACTTATTTATTTCTGTGTTTGTTATATCTACGGAGCCTTGAGAGACTCTGTGTGGTTATTTCATGTAACCGTGAACGAATCAAAAGACGAGATAAGATTAACGAGAACATTTATTAGCTTACATACATCCGACTTGAATTTTACACAAATTGTGAAATTATACCCCGACTTACGCGAATTCGACTTACGCGGTTATCTCTCGGTCCCACCTATCGCGTAAGTTAGGGGTATTACTGTACTTGGATCTCAGTAATTTGAATTTGAAATTTTCACTGAAGTGTATTAGGTAAAAATCAAACATATTAAGATGCAGCTCTACGGCACTGTCCTTAATTTAAAATATGGTGCTAATGATAATTTCTGTGGATAAGTAGCAACATTATGAATCGCCGTTATCGTTGTCGTATTTAATTACAAAACAGCTTTTTCTTATTATAATTTACTTAAAAAATTTAATTAATTAATTTTTGAAATCGTTTGTCAAACATTCATTAAGTATTTTTAATTTATGCGCGTTTAGGAGTGCATGAAATTTTCTGTTTCCACGAAAGAGATATGAAGACTGGAGAATGCTGGAAACCACTGTCCTGTATTGTAATCACTTTACACCCAATATCTACTGCTAATCTTCCCTCTTAGAGAAACAATATTACGTTATTTATTTCGAGAATGTGAAGAATGTAATAGAAGAATAATACAAAACGTGTTATAGAAATTATAAATGAATATTCAGATGTAAATTATTTTCGTCAGAAGGAAACGACACATAAATGAAACTCTATAATGAACTTAGACATGCAGTATAAAGAGTAATCGAAATATTTAACCACTGAAAAGAATAGGAATGATTTGGGACCGTACAAATAAGAAATGGTGCTTCACTGTATCTAAAAGCATGGGATGACACAAAGGTTTCTTTCATGGGAGTCCGATAAGATAACATTTATTATAAAACGATTTTCCTGTAGGTTTTTCCCACACAATCTGAACTGCTGTATAAAGTGATATTATTAGCTTCGTGATATTAAAGAATCGTATCATTCATTGTGTCAAATGGCAACTCGAGACCGCTAGAATCAATATCTTCTTTATCTTATCTTCCCATTAATATGTTTCAGTTGCTACAGATCATTTTTTATAATACTGAATAAAATACAGTGGGTGATCAGTTAACGAACAGATAGGTTAACGAACAAATCGGAAAACGAACACTTTCGCGAAAGATTTTTATGATCGGACAACGAACACTTCACCAAACAAACACAAGAAGCGACGTAAAATAACGAATTCCGATTAGTCTTCCTTTATCTTCAGGCAACAATTCGAAACTTTTCGGAGCGCGGGAGACGTCGACATTGACGTTCTACCAGTATTATACTGATTGGATAGTATTCCCCCGAACTTTGAAACTCTCCCTTGTAATTCCAGCTTTTTATATTTCTGACAGAAACAATTCTTTTATGTTTTCTTCTGAAAACATAAAAGAACTGCCGATATCTGCTATTAAAGATCTTTTTGAAGAAGTGGGAGGATGTCAGAATAACGGTCTTAAAATGGCATCCAAACCAGGTTGAGATTAATAAACCCAGGGAGCTCTACAATTACAATGCTATTAATTACTTCTGAAAAATCGTGAAGAAGACAGAAAAGCAATCGACATTGGACAGATTCTTTAACCTCCACAAACGGAAAAAACAGGACTAATAAAAATGCATGACCGTGTATATATGTATGTATTTTTATTATTACATATGAATAAAAGTAGTAATAAAGTATATATTTTTTATTTTTGGGGGTTTCCAGAACGAATTAATCAAATTCCCATAGAAACCTATGGTAAATCGATAATCGGTTAACGAACAATTAGGATTGCGAACAAAGTCTTGGAACGGATTATGTTCGTTAACCGATCACGCACTGTAATTATAATTGTGTAATTGCATAGACTCGCACTGCTATCGTATTACATCAATTCTTGATCGATATTGCTGTTTTAATATCCTTTCTGCTCAATGTTACTTCTGTCATTAATTTTCTTGATACTGTCACTTTCCACGTGCGTGATGTTACGTCTATAATACATTTTTCAATACTTTCAACATACAGTATAATATGCTGTATTACAGCTAAAGCAATTGTTTAAACAGTGAGTAGGCTACATGATTATCTCCAAACTCCCTCTGTTGTAGTGGTCTATGATAGCTACTAGTTTACTTTCCAACTGCACAACGTGGTTTGTAGACATTTTCTTAGTCTTAATATTTAAACTCTAATAAAAGTTCTTTAATTTTTCAAAAGTTATTGACAATAAAACGGAAGAAAAAGAGACGATAAAAATGAGGAATTCGACTGATTTAAGCGAAAGTAATAATATAAATGGCCAACAAGTGGAACAAGAACGGATGCCACAGCCAGAAATAGAAGTAGGTGATTTGTTTAGCCATTATATACATCGATTCAGTTTTCAGTAGTTTTCGTAAAATATTTTGACAATTTATTAAAATGCAGTTTGTTATAGGAATATGAAATTTAATTTATTTATATCTTTTTTCTTATAAAAGCAATGCTTTATATAGAATAAAGCATTACTTACGTTCTTAGCATTATTACGTTTAGCTAATGTTTTTACATTATTTTGGATTTTTCACAATATTAAAATTGTGTAAAATATTACACAATTTAATATTGTGTAAAATACCTACCCTTGCTGAAGGGGCCTGTTTGTCGTCTCTGCAGCAATAAAGTCTGCCTCCAAAAACACTTCTGGATTCATAGGCCAAATTCATAATCAACCTGGGGCTAGATGGGTACCACATCTTGCCCCCAACGTACACTTTTCATACTGACTGCAAACACAGGTAAACTTCATTTCAAAACTAAACAATTACAGTCTTAAAGGTTACTTCGAATACCATAATATCTTCATGTAAAAGGTAATGTAAAAGTTTACAATGATACTTACTTTGTAAAAACTTTTTAGCAAGCATAAAATTAGATGAAGTATTGCTGAAACATGAAAAACGTATCTTACTTCCAAACAAAGAGAGCGATTTGGACGTTCTCTCACTCCATGATCCCTTTCGAGCAGTGGCGTGCCGTCATTGGAAGCGGTGGATGTGCCGCTTCCCTTGTATTTTCTAAAAAAATAAATACATATTAATTTTAATTATATGAAAATAATCGTACAATATTTTATTATAACCGCATTATGTATCTTATTACAAATTTCTATATTACACGTGAAAAAAACAATAAGATTGTTATTGTATACAGTCGACCCCCTATAACACTGTTGATTATTCCGTTTTATATGAATTCCATGTTACACGAGTCACTTAGATTTTGCAAATACGTGAGCTGTTCACAGCCCGGCACATGTATTTGTAAAATCTAAGTGACTCGTACAACATGGAATTCATATAAAACGGAATAATCAACAGTGTTATAGGGGGGTCGACTTGTATTCGAATATTAGTAGCGGAGTGGAAGCGCTGTATCGTCAGCATCCAAAAAGCCAGATTCGCGCACGTGCTTTAAAGAGCACCGACCTCACCCGGTTTAGCTGGAGGAAGCCTAGGACTTCGGGTGGATGCTACACGTATCCAAGTCTATTCAGGACCGGTTCCGGGCTGTTAGCCGCCTGCCCGCTAGATGTTGGGCCGCCCTCGCGCGATTACGTGAATCACGAGTAGATTTATAACTTAACCCAACCGATAAGAATTTACTGGTATGTTTTTATGATAGTTCTGTATAGTTGACAGGAGTTAAAAAAATACATTAAAATATTTGATATTTTTATTCCGCTCTCCGATTTTATATTACTCACGGATTTCAATGTTAAACCAGTGATATTACGATTTCGTATGTCTCATCTCTAAGGGGATGTAGAAAAAACGTGTACAATTCTTATATAATGTTAAAAAATTAACTGTTACTTTGACAGCATAATTTACAACTAAATTTAATGAATGAGAGAGATGCACGAGGTACAGAAAAAGCTCTAAAATTTATTTTTCTTAAATTTACGATTTATGTATCCGTTGTCATAAAAATTTGTCTTTCCACTTTTTTTCCCGAGACTACAAATATTCGAGTACAAAGTAACCGGTTTCGACTTACTTGTACTTAAGAAGTAGTTAAATAATTAAGCGATTAGGGAATTGGGGACATAAACAAAATCCTGATGAAAAAGCCGAAATTTTACTTAAACAAAAGCTTAACCGAGCCAATCTATAGCCGAGTACAGTGGAGACTGATTTCTTCGTATTATTAATGTAATAAAGAGAAATTTTTCTAGTTTAATGAGTGTGACCGAAAAGTCGTAAATTTTGAAAATTTCTAAGGACACTTGGTCCTAAAACGAATTAGTTAGAAAACAAATGACTATTAAGTTTAACATATTTAGATTTTTACAGCTATGGTGAGAAACGTTTAAAATCTACAACAGCCCTGTCGCGTCCTTTGAGATATACTAGTGATATGACAAAAGAAGTATTTGACATTGACCGGTATTGGCACCCTGGGGATTTGGCAGTCCTCGTGTATGCACACTCTGCAACCGTCTTCGATTCCTTCCATTAGCCACTCGTAGGGAGCTNCCCGATTAACCGTCACATCGGTTAACCGACCGTTCTTGTCCGCAAATTTCAAATGTCTGCTAGTGATGTGGCGCTACAATGTTTGGCTATGTCTTGGCTACTTTAATATTATTTTTGTTAAATTTTTGCGTGTTTTAGCTGGCATCAATGGCTCGACCATTGAAGGGAGGCCAATATTTAAACGAGATTTAATTTTCTAATTATGAGTGGTTGTTTGTTTCGTGAGCAATAAAATAATTTAAAAATAATTTTTAACGATACAATAGCGACGATTATTATTTAAAAAAAAAAAAAAATTGTTAGGCTAAACATCAATGAAAATTCAACGCAAAGTTGGTTAATAGCGATATACTAATAAAGTAATTACATGGGATATACTAATATCCTAACATACTATACTAATAATGTATTTTTTCCTTCTTTTCGGTTATCCGATTTTTTCAGTTATCCGACCAACTCGAGTCCCCAATTGAGTCGGATAATCGATGCTCTACTGTATTATAATATATTATACTTAAGTAGTATCTATTTTCTAATTATATATTTTAATATACAAATATGTTATTATGAATTATTTACATTTTCAAAGCAATCTTATTTTCGTTGCTATATTTAATTTTAAATGACAAATTTGTACTGAGAATTCCAATAAGAACATTTAATTGCAATGACAAGCATTGATATTTTCTGTTTTGCAAATGGTTTCTGTTTACATAATAAATCGAATACAACGAATATCCAGTTTTATTCTCTGATTGTTACTCTGTCAAGCAATCGGGCAGTTTCTGGAAACAAAAACTACCACAAAATGGGTGTCGCCTTGACCTGGCTTTGTGGCTTAATGTGTGAACATTTTATCCAAGTTTTAAAGATAAAATTTTCCACAGACTAAGAACACCCGACAGAAATTTCAAAGTACAGTAAAACCTCGATTATCCGGACTAATTGGGATGAAGGTAGTCCGGATAAGGAAAAATCCGGATAATCGAAACAAATACTTTAATTTGTCTTTTAATGATAATACAACACGTTTTCTTTTCGATGACATATCGGTAATATTAAAANCTTTTTTTGTTTCAACAACGTCTCACCCGGCACAGTGGTCGTAAACTCTTAAATATATTTTGCGTCGTAATAAAAATATAACTTGACATACGTATTTATAAATAATTTATATTCAAAATACATCATTTCTATGACCAAGGGCGGTAAGGCATGGACGACGTGGGCCACCGCCTATGCCTCGTGGTCAATGTTCCCTCTAAGCTGCGCGGCTGCGCGGCCGCGCACTGCTCAAATTGTTGCCGCGCACGAGAATTTGTGCGCCGCGCAGGCGAGCATCCACACTGATTCGAATATTTGTTTACTTATTTTTCACTCTGTCTGCAATATGATTGATTATTGCTACGTATTTTTCGATTAAATACATTAAATCATTGGCAAAAGATAATATTTTGTATGGAAGTATGTTTTAAAATGAAATTTAATCTCTACTTTATAATTAATTATTTTAATTTTTATAGGAAAAAATAAGATTATATATATATATATATGTTTCAGAGCATATATATTAATTTTCTGAG